CAGTGCACTGCTGGACTGTGGACAGCCCCTTATATGCACACTCCTGTGGCAAGAAAAACCTAACCAGCAATCGCCCTCAACAACCACCCCACTCACTTGCTAGGGTGACCCAATACACCGGCCCACCCTGCCAACCCCCTGTGACCCCGCTCAACGCAACGCGCAGGCTTGAGGGCTACCGGGCTCGCACCGCGGGGGCCTGCCGTCAACAACCGCGCGGCAGCAAGTCCGAGCCCGCCCCCCCGCTGGCAGGCGGCGCCAATGATGGGCGAAGCGTGGGAGGCGAAAAGACACATAGGAGACGGACGCACCAGTGGTGCTTTTGCGTGCTGCTCTGGCGATCACAAAAGCCAGGCGTGCTTTGGCAACCCCCATGTCCAGCAGTGGCGGGGACAGGGGCGGCACATGGCATTGCGCCCCTTGCAAGGGCCCCCGCAACAACACACGGGCCGCCGTGTGCCACCAAAGCCTTGGCCGGACCTGGTCCGCGCCCGAAGTCGCCACGATGCATTAATCCCACTACAAAGGGAACTGGCTTAGGCGCCAGACCGCCGGGGAGGCGGGGCCGAGGCCGCACGCCTGCTGTGCAACCCACGCACCCCGCTGCCTGCAACCGAAACCTACATTCAATCACCATTCATTTGCACAACACGCGGGCACCAGGCCCCACCCACTGCGCGGCCGCAGCAAGCATAACAAACACCACACCACACCACCCGTTGGGTAAAGTCTCAATGTATGATGATGCACGGATGCCCGCTTCTCCTCTCGCCGGCCACGTGCAGGGACCGATAGTCTATCAGCACCACGGGCCTTCGACTCCCAAAAGCGCAGCGTATACAGCCGCAAGCAAAACGGATGCGCGAGCTGCAACCAGCCGCGACACAGCGCAGCAAAAACAGGGGAATGTTGACCCGCTGTTGAACACCAGCCGGCCGCAACGCGGAAGCCCTCAGCAGCAATACCTAAAGATTGCAGGAAGTGGAAAGAGAGGGGCAGGGTGCCGGGCACTTGCAAACGCATGCACGCGGACACACACAAGTGCAGCCGTGCAGCACAGCCAATGCGCAAGGGGGACAGACGCCGAAGACACACACCATGCATACGCCTCATGCCAGGATAACCTAACCCTACCCCACGTGTACCACGCGACCCCAGCCGCATGTGGAACGCCGGCAACAGGCGTGACCACCATTGACGCAGCGCAGCGTAGAACAGGGAATGCAGACCCGCCGCAGACACTTGCAAAACACCGTCGATACGGGTGCGTAACGCACCGCCAGGAGCGCGCTGTCACAAATAATAAGCAGGGGATTGATGACATACCGGAGATGGAGAACAATCCGAATCTGAGCGCCAAGTGCAAACACCCCGACACCGAGCGCGACCGCGCAATGGTCACCCGGTGGCGAGAAACAGCATCAAACTTGCACGAAAATGCGTTTCTACCACGCAAATGCCCGAGGAAGCCGGGCCGCGCAGGTCAATGCACCGGAGTCACCCGCCAGGGTGAGACGCACACCTCGCCAGCCGCACCACCTCTGCTGCTCGCACAACCGCTGGCGCGAAACGACGGCTACATGACCAATGGGAGCGACAACCATTCTGCTTCCCAAAACCAGGCATGGAAAACACAAAAAGAAAACGGCATGGGGAGAAACAACAGAGCAGGGGACTGGACTGCGACTGCAGCGTCACTGATGGCGCCCGTATGGGCTGTTGCGAGGCGGAACAACGGCAAGCCCCACACGACACGCATGAGGACAATAAGAAATTGGTGGCTCTTTTTTATTATACTGCTGATGGCGCAGCCTGCAGGGGCGACGGCTGCCCCAACACTCTCAGACATAGCCCACCTGGCAGTGCCCGAGATGGCAGCAGCAGCAACGATAATGATGATGGCAGTCGCGCCCTGCCTCCAGGGAGCCCTAGCAGCAGCATGCAGCACGGCGGCAGCTGTTTTTGCCCTGAGAAGGCGCCGCGCTTGGGGGAAAAGAGTGTGTGTGCTCCAGCAGGCAGCCGCACGCGGCCAAGCTTACCTCCGTGAGTCGGCCCCCGCCCACCCGCACGTGCCCGCACCGCTGGCCATGCTCGCGCCCACGCATCAGCGCAACAAAAGTCAGGAGGCAGTGCGCGCTCAAGCACTGCAAGTGGTGCGCACAGCCATGCGACTGTCGCAAGGGGAACAGCCTGCGCTGTCCGCAGCAATATGCAAACTCACAAGCCGCACGCCCGCAACCCGCAA